GTTTAGAAGATTTTGCTGATGAGCAATGAGTGAGTTACAGATAAAGGAAATACTTTCTAAAGTTTATATGGAACCTGACATATAGTCAACCAAAACAATGGGGTCTATTCACAAAGCTGCCGAAGGATCTGGCCGTAGCTTCGGGCGATCCTTCGGCTAGCTTCGGCCCTACAAAAGTCCTCAAGGAGCAAGACTCTGTAAACATGTTATATCAAGGCCGATCTTCAATGCCAGATTATACCAATGTATAATCTGTAGATGATAACTCAGTCTCAATAAAACCAGAAAGCTGCAACGAAACTGAAAGGGTTAATCTGTAAAAAAAATAAGTCAACGCAACTGGACTTGCTGTTATTTTTTTGAAGACGTTTTACTGGTCATCCAACCGGCTTTCTCAATTCAGAATGATAAAAAATTATCTGGGAATAAATATGGTGAATGTTACTCCAATCCACATAATCTGTTGATTGCATTTGTATAATTGGCGTCTAGGAGGTGTTATTAACCTGCCCACAAAGAGGTGTTAAAACAGCATTGTGTTGGGGCAGACAATAGATGTCTCACTCCCCCACCTCTATTCAAGCTCAGCTTCTCCATTTTTACATAAATGGCCTCTTTCACACCTCTTTTAAACCAGTCCCCCTACCTGTCTAGGATGCGTACTTGACTGTCTTCAAAGGAGTGACCTAGATGTAGGTATACTGCCGAATCCTGACCAGAGGGTTTGGCTCTTCTATGCTGTGCCATACGCTGGTGTAGCTGCTATTTTGTTTCACCGTCATACAAACTCGGCCAGGCAGTCGCTATGGGGCCTGGGGCACAGGGGGGCCGGCCAGGACATCCCCCTGATGCCGTGCGGGTCGCCTGGGTTGCTATGGCATCTCACGCTGCTGGCTGTCGCTGGCGGCTGTGAGGAGGAACGCGCCGCTATTCACATGTGCATCGGCGCGTTCCTCCTCCCAGCCGTTGATGTATCGGTGACAACCAGCAGCTTCGGAGGAGGTAGCTGGACCCGTCGTCGGCAGCGATGGAGGAGGCGGGGTCCAGTGATCTAGTAAGCAAGGCTTAGCGATGGGGAGGCGGGGCCCGATGATCGAGGAGGCGGACCCCAGTGACGGAGGAGGCAGGGCCCGCAAGCGATCGTTGAGGAGAAGGAGGCGGACAGAGGATCGGAGCAGACAGTTAAGAGGGCTTGACCACCCACCTGAGACCCTGCAGAGCCCACCATAGACAGTCTATGGCGGGCTCTGCAGGGTCACCCTCAGGTGGGCTGTGTGGGATCTCAGGTAGGCTTAACTAGAAATCACAGGGCCCCATACAAAATTTTGCTATGGGGCCCTGTGATTTCTAGTTACGCCCCTGTGTGAATGTAGCCTAAAAGTATTTTATGCATGGCATTTACCTGTAAAAGTCTTTCTTAGACTTACAACTGTCACTCAAGTGACAGTTTATTATTCTCATGTGTTTCTTCCTTGGCACCTACATAAAAGGTTATATAGGAAGGGGAGGGACAGAGGAGCTTGACCAACACAGTGTCATTAGAAACTCCCTGAAGAGAGGAGGGCTAGGACATGCATGGAGGCAAGGAGCTGTGCTACAGAACTGACTCTTCCTGAAGTAGTCAAATTTGCCAGCAAGTTCAGAGACACATTGCAAGTCAATAAAAAATAGTTTCTGGAAAAAAGATTTAAAAAAACATTTAATACTCTCTTTCTTCTTCTTTTTTTTTGCTTGTTTTTTTTAAATATTTTTATAATAATTATTCTTAAAAAAAAAAAAAGAAAAAACATTTAATACTTGATTTTTCCTGTGTGTTTACTTTTAATGTTTAAGTTGGTGACAGGGTCTTTTTAAAATGAATTTTACACAAGAACATTATGTATAAACAACCATTACTAATTGCTAAAACTCATCACAACACACAATTGCTCTATACTGAAAGTGCGCTTCAGCAGACCCTATGGGGGTGATATATTAAACTTCCTACCAGTGTTTAGCCATTCGCACAGCACTATGGCCACTAAATGGAGCTGAGGAACGGAGGGATTTCCTATGCTCCTTGGAGATTTCCTATGCTCCTTGGAATTTCCTATGCTCCTTGGAATTTCCTATGCTCCTTGGGATTTCCTATGCTCCTTGGAATTTCAAATGCTCCTTGGGGATTTCCTATGCTCCTTGGGATTTCCTATGCTCCTTGGGATTTCCTATGCTCCTTGGAATTTCAAATGCTCCTTGGGGATTTCCTTTGCTCCTTGGTTGCATTTAGTGGTAGTAATGTCATTCATGCAACTATACACTGGGTAGAAGATTTATACATCAGTCCCTATGAGTGTCCACTGTGCAATATGTAACTATTAAATTTGCTGCAAGCCACAATGTACATGTAATGTGCCCACATTGCAGTGTGGGATGCAAAGCAGGATAAAAGTTGTATACTGTATACATTTCAAGTTCAGGGACTACCAGGACACACTGTAGTAGAATTTTCACAAGCCACTGTTGCCCAGTAATATTTGTCTGGTCAAACTGTTTTAGCAACGAGTTTTTTATTGAAATCATGGATACAATTAAGGCATTGTCATTGATGTTATGAATCACAAACATTCGTTACACGTAGGATAGGCTTTTAAGTGGAGAAAAATACAGCACAGGACTACAGAGAAAAATCCAGAGCAGTACAGATCATCAGTTTCTTTCAGCCATTTATTTTTACAAATACTGGTCCTTTACTGGTTCCGTGTGGCAGCTCTTTGAATTACACGTTAATGTGTTTGGCAAACTTTGTAATAACATCTCAAGTAGGCTTTTTAAAGTAAGGCAAGGAACAATATGCTAAGTGCAGTAACCCACAATGCACTTACATTTATCATTTTCTGGTCTAAGATGGAACCAAGTTGCTATGTTAGGGAAACTTTGTTTCTTGGCAAGCCATGTGGGGAGGCATTTTTTTAACAGCTAATAAACGGGGATTCTTGATTCTCATATTGCCTTAAAGTGATCCTTTTTTGACTAGACCGGCTTCTATATCTGGTAAGTATTGATTTTTCGTGATACCCCTATTTTGCTTCTCACTGTTCAGTTGGTAGAGGCTCTGACATGAGGAAGAAAGCCTGGCCTCTACCAAGATGGCCACCTTCACATAGACACAGTGCAAAAAAAGACATGGTGAGTTACGCAGGAATGCACAGATACCAGCTCATATACCAGCTCCCATTCTCGACATTTGTACGAGAACTACCAGGGCTGCAGCCGTGACTGGGCCCTGGCGCTCCTCCACTGTCCTAAAATTGTATTGTTTTAGAAAAACTGTCACATTGTATCTGCGACTACTTAGAAGTATCGGTACTTGTACTTGGTCTGGAAAAAAATGGTATTGATGCATCCCTAATATACTATATATATATATATATATATACATGCATCCCTATAAGTTAGTATTGGGAAAACATCAAGAAGGGGGAGAACACAGGCAATACTGGTGACTAGACCTTTTCCCCTGCCGCCTGCTAGCATTCCAGAGTTCAGTTACTCTTGAATTATGCCATGTGCATGAAAGTATTTGGCATTTTGCAAAGTAGTGTAGGGACAGGCTAGAGAGGAATCACTTTGCAGTAGTTGACTAGCTCGATCATGTATTGCAATATATGTTAACCAAGTAGGCCTGCTTTTCTGCAAAGTTTGGAAAAGTGTGGAACACTTTTAAAGTACACTTTGCTCCAAAAAGCAAGGTCCTCTTTTTCGGTTGTTGCCGAACCCTATGTCAAAATTGCTGCATTTCCCCCTTGGTCCATCTGTGCGTATGCAGACCTTACATGTTGTTGTACTCTTCTAGCACTGCTTATCCTATACATATCAGCAAAAGTATGCCTGTTCCAAAACAGATAAGGTTGGGGATACTGCAAAAAATCTTAAAGAAGCATTTTAGAAGGCCTCTTTCGGAGGAGAGTGGTTGTTTGACGGTGGGCGGTATGTGAAGAAGAGGAGTGCAACATTTATGTAGGCAGGCAGTATGTGGAAGAGAGGAGTACAGAGTGTATGTCAGTGGGCAGTATTTATGTATTTATAGGTAAGGAGAGGGTATGACATTGTGCAGTAGGGATGATCCAATCTTCCTGCATTCAATTCCCAGGGGTTCCTTGAATCCTATCTGAAATTTGCAAAACCCAATCTTTGCAACAAATCCCACTGAAGTCTATGGGGAATACTGCTGTTAAATTCTGGCCATTTTGGGGGCTTATAGGCAGGGGAGAGGGTTCTTTTATTATGACTTCAAGGGTGATATGGGAAAACACTAATCCTTTAAATAACATGCTTGAGAGATGCCTTTAAACTGCATGTGGTGTTACAAAACAGTATGATTTTCACAGGCAGTGTCAGTGGCAAGATATTCTGGCATCATGTATAATTCTTTTTTTTACTTATGTTATTTTTTAACTTTTCACTTGTATTTTTTGGGGTATTTACTTTAATTTATTTTTTTGGTATTGATGCAGTAGTTGAGCTGCACACAGCAGAGCTCAGGCATGTCTGCAACTTGCCTGCTTAATAAAAGATAAAATTGTATTGAGTTAATAAATAACAAATATTTGTACATTTTACATTGCGCCTTTTTGTGAAACGGTAAAAAAGTAACGCAAGTAACGCAAAACTGTAAATAAGCGACTAATGTTAAAAATAGTTTGTGTGCTGTGTTGGTGTGTGTGTTGTGATAAAATGATACAGGTGCATATTTAATCGCAACACAGCATATCACAACGCACGGCAATGTGTCAAAATGCTTTGCCATGCCCTGGCACACAGTTAAATTAATGTTATTTAAAAAAGTAAATCAAGCACTGTGATGTGTTCTAACAACACACAGTAGCGCATGTGCATGGCATACACCACAATATAGTGTATGTTATCTGTGTGTGGGTGGGGGAGGGGGGTTTATGTTTTATTT